TGATGAATCCGTAGCGATGCTGTTGTGTGCGAGGCGGTCGCGACAGCATGCAGGGCCGAATGGCAACTTGCCTGCTGATCGTCACGCTTACAAGGCGCTGAAGATCGTTCGCAAGCCCGCGTCAAACCTCCATCACTCCTTCTGTACTCGCTAAGCGGGGCGTTGACCTTCCTTGACCAAGACATCGGCGCTGTCTCAGTCGAGCCCCATCTCCACCCGAGCTTGCTTCACGATGGCAGCTCTTCGCTCACCAGTCGGCGCTCTGCGCTCTGCTTTCAGGCAACCCGCTAGCGTGAGTTGTGGTTGTGATGTCTTGGCGAGAAGTACTGCACCATACTGACTCGTGCAACCTTGATGCTATGACAGAGATTGCTCAGCCAACGTCCAGCATCGGCCTTTTACAGCACCACAGTCGACTCCTCGAACGCCGAGTCTGTGCACATCACTGCCGCATCCTCGTCCGCCACTGGCGTACCCTCGGGTGATAGCGAGCCATTCACAGTTCAGTTGGATGCCAACTCATTCAAGGCATACAAGACCGACATTCCTTCTCTGGAGATCGAAACCAGCAAGAACCAGTTGCTCCACTTGTACGCCGAGATGGTCAAGATGCGCAGAATGGAAATGGCTGCAGATCAGCTATACAAGCAAAAGCTGATCAGAGGGTTCTGCCACTTGGCCATCGGCCAGGTGAGTGCCGAAAGCTGAGCAGAGAGGGCGTCTGGGCGCAGCAATAGAAGCTTAGGTCCCGAAACTCCCCTTGATCTTCGCAGGAAGCCGTCGCTGTAGGCATGGAAGCTGGCATGAAGCCCTCCGACAAGTTGATCACAGCCTACAGATGCCACCCATTCACTGTGCAGCGCGGAGGAACGATCAAATCCGTGATTGCTGAGCTCTTTGGTCGCGAGGCTGGCATCAGCAAGGGAAAGGGAGGGTCTATGCACATGTTCACCCCTACCTTCTTTGGCGGCAACGGTATCGTCGGTGCACAAGTGCCAGTCGGCGCTGGACTTGCTTTCGCTCAAAAGTATCTCGGAACTCAAGACGCCGTATTTGCAATGTACGGTGATGGTGCATCGAACCAAGGACAAGTCTTCGAGGCTTTCAACATGGCCAAGCTCTGGGATTTGCCGTGCGTCTTCGTCTGCGAGAACAACAAGTACGGCATGGGTACGAGCGCGGAACGCTCTAGTATGAACACTCAGTACTATACTCGTGGTGATGTCATTCCCGGTATTCAGGTCAACGCGATGGACGTCCTGGCTGTTCAAAAGGCGACGAAGCACGCCTCCGAATTTACGTTGGCTGGCAATGGACCTCTGTTGATGGAGCACGTCACCTACAGATATGGTGGACACTCTCTGTCTGACCCAGGAACGACGTACAGAACCAGAGATGAGATTCAGTCCATGCGAAGCTCGTCAGATCCCATTCAGGGACTCAAGAGCAAGATTTTGGAGTGGGGTGTGGTGGACGAGGCGTCGCTGAAGAAGATCGACAAGGAAGCGAAGGAGGAGGTCGATCAAGCTGTGGAGGAGGCCAAGCAGAGTCCCGAGCCTGACGCAAAGGAGCTTTGGACCGACATTTAGTGTGTAAAGGAAGCTTTGACACGGCGCACAATCCTTCGCTGACTTGATCGCGCAATATTCTTATTTCCGCTCGCAGCTACAAAGGCACCGAGCCAGACTGGATGCGTGGCCGCACTCTCGACGAGTGAGTGAGCTGTGTATGGTCAATCTTGTTGGTCATTGTGCTGACGACCTGACTTGACATTGAATGGTAGGATCCACCGCTTCCGCTGAGCGCATCTCCCATCACCCCCTGTCACGACTTTGAATCGAGTAGAGCAATTCCATGGGCTTGCCTTTAACCTTGATACCATGGTCTGGTGTCACAACCGCAAGCAAAGCGACCGCAGGGCACATACATTCTCTGCGCTTTGGTGTGCATCGCCTCAGGACGGCGTGCTTTTTCAGTCAGCACGCGCCTAGATTCCGCCATGCAAATTCTCTCGCTTCCCGGCAGCCATGCCAACATCCTCGGCGTATATTGAGATACCTCATCCTAATTGCAGTCAAGACTGATCTTTGCACCCACCGCAACACGCACTTGTCTCTCACGCATGCGGTGATCGTCCCAGATCTGCTTCGTCCAGATCACGATGACCTCCGCAGTCACTCCATTGCGACACCGCCTCTCTCGCATTCTCGAATCGGCTCCGTGGCTGCCAATTCTGTACGGCGATCTTGGTGCTTCTCGTCTGAGCTAAGCAATGGGCGGCCGAATCGAAGGGCGTTGCGGCAAGGGCAGTGCTCGGCAAGAGGAGGGCAGGCAATTAGTTCATCTAGCATGGGATTGTCTGCTCTGAAGCGAAGGCGTCATCCCTCCCTAGCCTGACGTGTTGGACATGGTGCGCGGTATACGAAGCGTTGCCAAAAGTCGCAGTCACGCGTTCATGGCCTGGTTGATGATTTTAGGTAACGCAGCCTGCCGAAATGTGAGAGCTGCACGATTCGCAGCTTCGTGGCTAATTCTCAATACCCGTTGCATCTTGACTTCGCCGATACATGGCTCGCAATGCCGTTCCTTGCACAGCCCTTGCCCAAATTGCTGACATAGATTTGAGGCCCCATACTTCTCACTCATCACACTCTGGACTTGAAGCCAGAAACTTCAAAATCTTGCGGTTGACCCCGGTCTTTGGGCAGCAGCGCATCCTGCCTGGTCTCGGAGGTGATCACTCCAACCAGAGTGCAATCCACGATGAAAGCTACAAGTTGATTATTCAATAAGCACTGGTGTGTAATGTCTCACGAACCTCTGTCAATCACTCAAGGTCAGCAAATCACGACGAGCGTCAGGATAATGATGCGATTGCAGTGATGGACGCAAGCGTGCCCAGCTAGACCCCTCGCTCGTGCTCATCTGCTGGCTACCATCCTACAGCGCTTGATGGGCCCAGATACCTTCACTTGAAACACAGCACACAGCCAGCGGCCGCTCAGCTTTCCTCACAGCCTCTGCCGTGGTGTCGTGTCTCGGCTTCCGCTCCATTCTCACCGCAGAACGTGTCAGAGGCTGGCGCTTCGGCTCCGGTCCAGAGACCTGATTTCCCTGCCGAAAGCGCAAAAGCTGGCGCTGAAGGCGGCCGTAGCTGACTACAGTCGCTCCAACGCGCTATTGCTGGGCCAGTGATGTGGGTAGCGACCACGTCAAGCGAGGTGTTAACCGCTTGCCTCTAGAGCCAGTACGTGCATCTCGAAAGTTATAAAGAGGGCAGCTTCGTCTCCTCGACTCTCGCCCTTCTCTGCATCTCTAAGCAATCCCAAAACCGTGCTCAACACGCAACAGATTCAGTAGTGCTTTCAAAGCTTGCAACATGCGATTCATTCAGCTGACCGCTTTCGTGGTCGTGGCCATGGCGCTGGTCAACGCCTACCCGACTGCGCTGCAACAGCGTGACGTTGCCTTTGGCAAAGATGGTGAGTATAGGCTGAACGAGCCTTCAAGTAGAGCAACAAGAATCTCCATCGCGCAGCGCCTCGAGCTAGGCTGACCATTGACCTCACGAAACGCTCCTCGGCGCCCCAGTCCTTAAGGCTAGGATCGACGTTCCGACTCCCATCCTCGAGCATCCAAGCCCGGGTCTCCTCGCACGTCAGGCACAGGCTGAACACCACGAAAGCGGCAACCCCAATCCCCCTCCCAAGAAGCAAGGTCCTCACCCTCCCCCTAGTCGCAGAGGTGAGCTTGCGGAAGGCAAGGTGAAGCCGCCACCGAAGACGGGGACCCCTCCACCGAAGAACGACCCACCACCTGCTGCTCGTCGAAGCTTGACGCCAGACGTCAAGCCGCTCAAGAGGGAGAGGAAGGAAAGGCTTGATGAGCATGACAAAAACGGCAAGCCCGATCCCCCTCCCAAGAAGCAAGACCCTCCCCCTCCCCCTGCTCGCAGAGGTGAGCATGCGGAAGGCAAGGTGAAGCCGCCACCAAAGACGGGGGGTCCTGCACCACCACCTGCACCACCACCGAAGAAGGAG